TTGTCTTTTTTTTCTTTTTTTTTTTTTACCTGTCGATTTCCTGGGTATCATTGGGGAGCATGTATAGACGATTGGTGTTATGGTATCGACGTCCCTGATACATGCGAAAGTCACCCTCGAGTTCTTCTTGGTGACTTGACAACTGCGATGGTTGTTGTGGGGCAGGGTGATGATGATGTTGCTTAGAGTGGCCGTTGGCACCGTTCGATGATCCTTGATTTAAAGAAGAATGATGTTCTTTTGTGGCGTGGTTGGAGGATCGTCTCCTGCTCAGTGCCTTTTGTAACGAAGAAGACGAAGAGGCAAGCTGGGGAGAAGCACTTCCATTAGCTCCACCAAAGCTACCTGATGAGGTATGATGAGCGTGGTTCTGGTGTTGTTGCTGGAGACTTGTGCCGCTGTTGTTGCGTGATCCGGATTTGACGCTGTTTGGGTGTGACGATGTGGTGGAGAGGTATTGAGATCCATCCCTGGATGAGGTACGGGTTGTTGATTGAGTGCCACCCATGGCGATGTTTTCGAGGGGGGGAGAGGGAGTGAGAGGAGAAGAGTTGTCTGAGGGTCAACGGAAAAGAGAAGGTTGGCTAAAAATACGAAGAGTGGGCTTGAGGATTTTTTAGGGTGTTCGGGATGTGAACGCGAAGAGGAATGACAATGAGATGTGTGTGAGGGAGAGGCAGAATGAGATTGCGGATGGGAGTCGAAGAACAGAGGGAAAGGAGATGAAGAGGGAGAAATGAGAGCGAAACGGATGGAGGAAGAAGAAGAGAGGAATGAGTTGATCCCAGAGAGACGAAAGAGTTTTTGTGGAGGAGGAAGAAGCAAAGAAGACGATTTATTAAATGATGGAAATGTCAAAAACAAAAAAAAACAAAAAAACAAAGTTGATAATACACTTATGGTTGCACAAACTGAACAATAAAAAGGAACCCTCGTCCGCTGTTCCATCCCTCTCTCTGCGTTCTCGGTCCTTCCCTCCTTTTTTTTTTTCAGCAGACAATCTCTTTATTCCACCGGCTCTTGTAAGTGAATGCCGCGTCGATCGAACCATTGTCCACCACCCTCCCGACCTCCTCTCTTCATGAGAAACTAACTAAATGGTGGTGCAAATACCGACTAAGATCAACATGCGCCCTGCCCTGGCAACGTCTCTCAAGCATTTTGTTTGCAAACGTTCGGACGCAAAAAAAAAAATTGGGCGGTGCAAGCCATTATGCGCAATAAGAGGCCCATGCTTTCACCGTCCTCTTTCCTTTGCTGCTTTGTGCACAGAAATCACAAGTAGATAGCACAAGCTGCCGCGCAAACCGAACGAAGGAATGCAATGCATACGGTCACCGAAACAACCACATAGGCCCCAGGGCAGAATAGCCGAATCTATTGTGTTCTATTCAATAGGCTGTGTGCAGGTCCCAGGCGCAGGTCCCAGGCGCAAGGGCTATAGTTTATCTTGACCAAGACGCGTCAAGGGATGCGAGGGGGGGAGACGGATAATCATTCGTCTTTCTGCGCCTATTGATGATTTGATGAACATGCACATATATCTCATTTCAGCGAGTGGTGTTGCAGAGCTGGGAGATACTCGAAGGCTTGCAGTTTTGGCCTTACAATCCGTTTCTATTTCGGTGTTATACAGTGTTTTGTGTCCTACGGCACACAGTTTAACTGACCCTCCATCCTGTGTTCTTGTGTACTCAGTCCGTTGACACCTTTTCTTTTCAAGGAACCAATACCGTTTCTACGATTTTATGCGATTGTTCTGATCTCTATCCGCATTCAAAAAGGAAAAAGGGGTCATGGGGAGACATTCGATTGAGGAAAGTCCACACGTCTAGCCCTTTTTCGGACCTACCTTTTTACAGGTCTTAATTTTGTATTCTCTCTTTGGTAACAAAAGTCCGTTCATTTGGATCAGTCGCGTATCGAAACCTTTTTTCTTAGGTACTTTTCTGTTAGATTGGCAAATCAATGAACGGAACGGTCAAGGAGAACCAGCATCAGTGGGGCAGAATAGAAGCCGAAAACAAAGCAAATCGGCACTTCACAAATTTTTGAAAAGAGGTGCAGACACACACAGAACCAGAGCCCTATTCCAGGAAGAGCTTTTTTTTTGGAAAACAGGAAATGCCTGTCCATGGATCCCCGTGTTTCCTTCAGTATGTTCCTTCTTTCATCCCACAAAAAGGTGGACCCACTTTGGCCACCAAGAGGTGCACATTGCAAGTGAGAGGCTCAAAGAAAGAAAAAAGAAAAAGAAAAAAGTAAAAGAGCTGCTCTCGTTTCCTTCGCTCATTAGATCAGGCTGTTTCGAGTTTTTGATAACCAAAACTGTGGACCTTTTTTCCCTTTGCGCCGTGTTGCTGTTTGCTCAACATTTTCGTCTTAAATGAACAAAATAAAATGGGCGAAATCTACGGAAGGATTTGAGAAGTGGGGTTGGAATTGACACCCCGGAAATTAACAACCTTTGTGGATAATTTGGTGTCATCACTGAGAGGACGGAAGTGCTGATTGCGCATCAAACGCGGAGCGAATTGCTAAACAGGTACAGGCACAAAACTACGCATTTATACATCTGACACCCCCTCCCCTTTTTTGTTCTAGATGGTACAACCACCGCCTATGGCCCTGCATCGTGGCCCGTTCCAAAGAGATGAATGGATTACATGACGACTTTGAGGAGCGAATCAAAAGCCACAGCAGCCCACCCCACATAACGAGAGGGACCAATGTCATCTTTTTACAATTTTCGTGATGATACGCTAAGTACCATGATTTGAGCACCGGTGGTAGATCTTTCGTAGGCAAGCGGGAGAATCATACCTAGTTTAATCTCCTGCAGCACAATAATTATATGCTGAAGTTGCATGAATACTTCATGGACCTAACCATCACAACATATAATTTCCTCGAAAAAGCCCTCAAAACAAGATACTGCGCTCCCGTTTTAAATATTACTAAGCCGTAGGCGTAAAGACCATGGGACGCGAGCCAAAGTTTTAGATTTCAGGACAGACAATATGCCGCAGTGCTTTTCTTCGATGACAGGCCTCATTAATTTGTTTTCGTACATCCAATTGTCGATCGCCTATGCATATTGACCGCATAAGCTCGCCTTTTCCTTGCCACGATTTTCTGCGTGTTTGAAGAGTCTACTGCAACTGTTCCGGTAATCCCAATAGAGTTCTTTGCTTTTGCCTTAGACATGCGCTCTGGAAACTGATTTGAACTGAGGAAAATAATATATTGAATGAAAATGACGGGTCTAATGAGAAAAGAGAGGGGTTAAGAATACAAGTCTAATACAATGCGATGCTCTTTGCTTAAAACCAAGAGCGGTTAAAGAAAGAAGCAAAGGGAGAGTCAGGAGCGGGGATGGCAGATCTATACAAAAAAATTGAAAAATAAGAACTTCGTATTAATATGGTGTACACCAAAATCAACCCTCGTTGTATCTGATATGCTGCTTTCCGGTCTGATCCAGTTGCTGTTGCACATACCTCGTCGAAGAGGAGTACTCTCTCTTCTCAGCCTTGAGCCAGCGTCCATTCAAGCGACGGGCAGTCTTGGCGTTGTTCTTGGTATTTTGTCCACGGACGGGCAATCCCATAGCATGGCGACGACCGACATAGGAACCGATCGAACGGTGGTGCATGATATTGGCACGGATCTCCTTGCGCAAATCCGATTCGATCTTCATATCCGAAAGCAATCCTGAAAGCTGATTGATTTGAGGTTCTGAAAGGTCTGCGATCTTTGCGGATTTGTGAATTGACAACTGGGCGAGGACCTTGAGGGAGGTCTTTTGACCGATTCCGTAGAACAAGGGAAGGGCATATTGCTAAAAGATGAAAGGAAGGTGTCGAAAGTCGGTGTTTCGGTCAGAGATAGTGCATGAGTGGCTTGATCCAGTAAGACGTGTGGAGACGTGTGGAGACGTGTGGAGCCCACGGTCTGTGTATGATAAGGTCATCTTTCAGCTGCTGTTCTAGTGTCGGTCTAGCAGCGTGAATCATTGACTCATTGGCCGAGCAATGCGCCATTCAAGTTCAAGCTCACGTTATGTTTCCGAGTCGAATCAGACATAACCTATTCTGATTGATCCTTTTTCCAGCTCCTGAAAAGACAAATTCTCGAATAGTTGATCCCGATCCCGAAGCTTGAATATCAACAATAGACCGGCAAACATACCACCAACTTTTGGTCGGGCAAGTTGACTCCGAGAAGATGCAGCATGGTTACAAAGGCGTTGATGCGGTGAGGAGTAAAGAAAAAGAAATCGAATCAAAAGCGGGAGTCTACCCAACATCGCCGAATGGTGGCAATTCAGGGATAAAATCGTCACGGTATTTGAATTAATCGCACGCTTTATATCACATGATCGAGGGTCGTAACGAACCCTACTTGTACGTTTTTTTGTTTCAGGCTCTTTGAAATTTTCCCAGTGGCCAAGTCGGTTAAGGCGTTATGCTTATATTCTTCAAAATATACCAAAGTCACGTAAAGATCCCGAGTTCGATCCTCGGCTGGGAAATCCTTTTTTGCACTTTTTTGGTATCAAATTCGAATAATAGGCCACGTTGTCAGGTCAACACAAAAACACATCCTTTGACTGATCCACTTCACCAACAACGTACTTTTTTTCCTTCCGCCCATGCTAGGATGAGCGACAACGAGGAAGGACCACGGGAGGTAGAGTCCTTGTCCATGTCGTCAGAAGTTCGTCATTGAAGGTTGACAATCATGGCATTAATATTTATTCCTGCATTTCGACGATTCGTAGAGACTCAAGGCTGCGGTCTGGTTCATGGTCGGCCAGATATGCGAGAGTCAAAGTATGTTTGAGAGTGAAGGGAATACTCTGGACGATATTAACTAAGGTCAAGGACTGTGAAGAAAAGATACAATTAACAAGGCCTATTGTCTGCTGAACTGATAGAAGCGGACCTGAACGTGATCATCACACCACAACTTGTCGCGTCGCTGGCAGAGATAGTGTTTGCACAAGCAGGTAAGGTTATTTCAACAAGGATTCCAGAGGCGTATCGACATATTCGTAAGGCCGAGAATGGAAACTTGGTTCCGAGATACTTACTTACTTACTTTCCGCTTATGTTCGTCATTTTCTTTTTTCGTGTATGATAGAAACACTGGGCAAGGATCTAGAGCTGTTCGCGAGGTATGTGTACTGGATACTGGAAAGAAGAAGAGCATGGGTTTGAAAGGGAATGGAGAAAGACCCGTTCCTAAAACCTGTTTGTCCGCGTGGAGAAAAAGGAAGCACGGAGAAAGCTGGACTGACAATTTTTATATATTTGACTTTTGATCTCGGAATGGGTACAGACACGCAAAGAGATCCACCATCAACGTGGACGATGTCAAGGTTTGTTCTATTCCAGCTCCATCTTCTCCATTTGCTGTGCAAACCAAACTCCCGAGATATCGCCGAGAAAAAGTCGGGAGATCACCTTGGTCTACCGATTGCGAATCATGTCTCCATTACCTAACCCTTTGTCTTTCACTGCACATTCATCTTTTACGATAGCTGGCTGCAAGAAGAAACGCTAGTCTCGTAAGAATTTTTTAACGTTTTTGTGTGTTGACACTCGCCACCTTCATTTATTATAACGGCGAGGAACATGTATATCATTATGGAGAGCGGGGGCACCATTATCCCGGGTTATTTTCGATTGGAGACGAAGGCGGACTTTTCTTTAAAAGTCAGGAAGTCAGGGTCTTTCTCGATATAATTTTTGCAATGCGGCAGGATCCTCACTCCACCCTGTGCTGTAATGCCCATATTACGTTCCTGCAAATTGACAAGCGTAGTGCCGCGCGCGGGGATATGGGTAAACAAGTAATCATTAGTGGTATATTGTGCTAACAATCAGCATGCATGTTTTCCCATCCCTTCGTTGCTCTTCTAGTATGAAATCATTGGTCAGCATGCGGATCGATTAGCCCAACGATCAAAGGATGTCAGGGATGCCAGGAAGCGAAAGAAATAAAACAGAAATAAACAATCAACAAACAAACAATAACCAAAAGAAGAGTGTGAACCAAACCGATCATCTTTGAGTTGAACGGCAATGCAACTGAGCAGTGACAAGCAGGCGTCCTCAGTGCTTGTTGTTGTCATCAGTGTTTGTTGTTGTCATCAGCAAGCATCGAAGAAGAAAAACCTCCATGTTTTTTGTCTGCTGGCTGAATAACGAATTTTTGAAGTTTTGCGGGGGCTGGGTGTGGTGGGTCCATGTCATTTACAAAGGGAACGACCGGATATGTGTGCCACCCTGGTGTAACGTTCGGACGGAACTTTAAATGTTCTTCGACCAGTTCGCTCGTGGCTCTTTGGGTTCGGGGGGAGGAAGCAACCCTGAACTATGATCCTGCAACTGGGGACTTTTTTCGAAAAAGAAAAAGTCTGAAAAAGCGGAGGTGGGGGTGGGGAAACCCAGGTCCCCTTTTATACAAAAAACCGAAAAACTTGCCGAACTTTGCTCTTCCCGGTTGTGTTTTTGTTTGGCCTTCTTTGTTTACTTTTGTTGGGTATGTAGTTCATCTTTAACATCCCACAATCACCGAGCAACCCTATTCTTATTTACCCAGACGAGATCGTTATGAAGATTTGATCGGTTCCGTGGCTGAAGCAGATTGAAGTGCAACATGCGACGAGCTGTGCGACGGGCGGCATGCGGGCAACAAAATCAAGAAGATCATTGCTTCCATCTTTATTGTTCCACTGGCGGATGCCGGGTGGAAGAGAGAGGATAGTCTATGGTTGCGAGAAAGAAATACAGAAGCGAGCTGAAAAAGCGGTGAATTTACTATATGATCAACATGGGAAGGTAGAAACTACGTAACGCAAGAATGTAAAGAACAAGGTCTCAGTGCTGAGCGAAAGGAATCAAAGGGAAAGGAGTAGAACCTTGTCAGCAGATCAAAAAAAAAGTGGGTTCCAAAAATTTGTGGTCCCACAGCGTGCAACAATTCAATTCTTCTATTCAATCCCCTCACTCTTGGCTGAGTGGTCCCTGTGCTTGGGACAAACAAAACCGCTGGACTGCTTCCCCACACTTCCTTCCGTCTTTCCACCCTCCTTGGCTCTTTTTTATTTTTTTTTGCTTTCTCGGAAAACTCTCTTGCCCATTTGACTTTTCTTTCCTTTCGATCCAGCTGGCTGGTGTGGAAGGTATCAGATTTGGAGACAGGGACTGTGTGTGGGTTTCTTTTTTTTGTGCATCCACTTTTTTTTCCCCGTGGTCAGCAATCAGTCCTTCATTTCATATATAACCGGCCGCTCTGATCGCGGCTTCCCCTTTTTCTTCTCTTCTTTTTTTTTTTGGTCTTTACTTCCTCACTTACTCTCTTCCCACCTTCCCAGCAATCCTTTTGTTCTTTGTCCACCACTATTACCTCGGACATTTCTTGTAATTAGTATTCTCTACTCACTTCTCTCTATACCCTCACTCTCTCCTCCTCCGCCTCTCCCCTTTCATTTCAACGACTTTCTATTTTATCTTATCGGACGTCCTCTGGCACTCTCCCCTCTTTCCTTGTAATCCTCGCATACATTATCGTTTATCATGTCCTCCTCACTTGATCTCTCCAGCTTCTCCAACAAGCTCCACTTTTATTTGAACGGAACCGAGATCGTCCTCAATAACCCCGATCCCGACACAACCTTGCTCCAGTATGTCCGCTCTATCGGACTCACTGGATCCAAGCTTGGATGCGCCGAGGGTGGTTGTGGTAAGCTTTTATGACCTTTTGGACTACATATGAATGCATTTCGGTGATGAGCACTCCGGAAGGGATATGACATGGGGCTCGAGTAATGGGATGGAGCAGTTGCATTCGAATGGGAAACTCCATTCCGTGGTCCTTTGAAATCAGAGACGAAACCGGGCAAAACATAACACAGTCAACTGACGTCCAACAACTCGTTTTATCCTTGCTTGTTATGAATAGGTGCCTGCACGGTCATGGTCTCCTCTTATGACAAGGCTACTCAGCACATCAAGTATGTTCTCTTTTTGCTTTCGAGCACTGACTTGCTATTATGTGAGGATCCTCTGTCTGTCTGTATATGTGATTTGTAGGATGTACTGACATCTTTTTCTTTGCCGTTATCTCGATCCCTTTCTCCTTCAAAGGCATCTCAACGTCAACGCTTGTTTGACTCCCCTCTGCTCCGTCGATGGCAAGCATGTCATCACAATTGAGGGTCTCGGTGACCACAAGAACCCCCATCCCGTTCAAGAGCGTATTGCCCTTTGCTATGGGTAAGCTACTTACAAATACACCTTGATCTGCAAAAAACCCTCTTTGTCGAGCCAGCTTCCTAACCCATATCATGTCTTCTTCACGCAAATAGTTCTCAGTGCGGTTTCTGTACCCCTGGTATTGCCATGTCGCTTTATGCTCTTCTCCGCAACAACGCCACCCCCTCCGAGCACGAGGTCGAGGAGTCCTTTGATGGAAACTTGTGCCGTTGCACAGGATACCGCCCCATTCTCGATGCCGCAAAATCCTTTGCCGCTCCCTCGGCCAAGAAGGCTGGTGGAGGATGCTGCGGTGGTGCTGGTCCCAACGGCGGTTGTTGCAAGGATGACAAGCCCGAGTTGCCAACCATTCCCCAGGAGAGCTCCGTTCGTTTCCCTTCGGTCCTCTTCAAGGCTTATGACCCTACCCAGGAGTTGATTTTCCCCCCAAGATTGATGAAGAAGGCTGCGGACCCTTTGCACTTCCAGGGCCGTAAGGCTCAATGGTTCCGTCCCACGACCTTGGCCCAAGTCTTGCAGATTAAGGCCGCTTACCCCCAGGCCAAGTTCCTCGGAGGCAACACCGAGGTCGGAGTCGAGACCAAGTTCAAGTACATGGAGTACTCCCCTTTCGTCTACTTGCACGATGTCTCCGAGCTTCAGGGTATCAGCATCACTCCAGAGGGTATTACCATCGGTGCCAACGTCACAGTCGCCAACTTCCAGAAGGCCCTCAAGGACGCCATCGAGACTGTCTCTGAGAACGAGGCTCATGTCCTTCGTGCCTTCCTCGCCAACATCAAGTACTTTGCTGGAAACCAGATTCGTAACGCTGCCTCGGTTGCCGGTAACATTGCCACTGCTTCGCCCATCTCCGATCTCAACCCTGTCTTTGTCGCCTCCAACTCGACTTTCAGCATCTTGTCATCGGAGCAGTCTGTCGACTCCACCGCTCGTGTCGTTCCTGCCACAGAGTTCTTTGTCGGATACCGTAAGACGGCCTTGAACCCCGCCACAGATATCCTGACCGAGATTTATATTCCCTTGACCCGCCCTGGCGAGTACATTCGCTCGTTCAAACAGGCCAAGAGAAAGGACGATGATATCGCTATTGTCACTGCTGCTATCCGTGTTCAGCTCGCCGAGGACAACACCATTCTCGAGACTGGATTCGGTTATGGTGGTATGGCCGCCTTCACTTGTCAGGCCAAGAAGACCTCAGCTTTCTTGAAGGGCAAGGTCTGGGGTACCAAGGAGGTGCTCGATGGCG